TGGATAACCTATATGAAATGGAAAAATTCCTAGAAACACACAAACTCCCAAAATGACTCAAGAAGAAATAGAAAATCTGAATAGACCTATAACTAATAAGGAGATTGAGTCAGTAATCAGAAAACTCCAAAAAAGAAAAGCTCAAGACCAGGTGGCGTTACTAAAGAATTCTACCAAACATTTAAAGAACAAATAACGCCAGTCCTTCTCAAACTCTTCCAAGAAATTGAAGAGGATGAGTATTTCCTAACTCATTCTATGAGCCAGCATTACGCTGATTCCAAAGTCACATAAAGACACTACAAGAAAAGGAAACCACAGACCAATGTCCTTAATTTAGATACAAAATTCCTCAACAAAATACTAGCAAACCAATCAGCAGCATATTAAAAAGATTGTACACCATGATCAAGTGAGTTTTATCCTAGGAGTGCAAAGATGGTTCAACATACTAAAATTAATCAGTCACATCCATGTTAATGGAATAAAGAAAAAAACCCACATGATCATCATGATTCTCTCAGTTGATACAGAAAAAGCATTTGACAAAATTCAACACTGTTTCATGATTAAAAAAAGAAAACACTCAGGGGCCGGCCCCGTGGCATAGCGGTTAAGTGCGCGCACTCCGCTGCTGGCAGCCCGGGGTTCGGATCCCGGGCGCGTACCGACGCACCACTTCTCTGGCCGTGTTGAGGCTGCGTCCCACATACAGCAACTAGGAGGATGTGCAGCTATGACATACAACTATCTACTGGGGCTTTGGGGGGGGAAATTAAAATAAATAAAATCTTTAAAAAAAAAAAACACTCAGAAAACTAGGAATAGAAGGAAACTTCCTCAACATAATAAAGGCCATATATGAACCCACAGGTAACATTATACTCAATGGTGAAGGACTGAAAGTGTTTCCCTGAGATAAGGAAGAAGACAAGGATGCCCACTTTCAACGCTTCTATTCAACATAATACTAGAAGTTGTATTGGAGCAGTTAGAAAGAACAGGAAATAAAAAGCAATCAAATCAGAAAGGATGCAGTTAAACTATCTGTATTCACAGGTGATGTGATGTTATATGTAGAAAACCCTAAGGAATCCACACACACACACACACACACACACACACACACACACACACCCCTTAAAGCTAATAAACAAGTTCAGCAGAGTTGCAGATACAAAATCAACACACAAAATATATTACATTCCTATACACTACCTATGAACAATCTGAAAAGCAAATTAAGAAAATTCCATTTAACATAGTTTCAAAAAGAATAAAATATTTAGGAATAAATTTAATTGAGGAGGTGCAAGACTTACTACAAACTATAAAATATTGCTGAAATAAATTAACACATAAATAAATGGAAGGACAACCCATGTTTGTGGCTTGGATACTTAATATTGTCAACATGACAATATAAGTCAAGGTGACATTACAGATTCAATGCAACCTTTATGAAAATGGTCATGTGTAAAATACTTTTACTATACTGCTGAATTCATTTTGCTAATATTTTGTTGAGGATTTTTGCATCATTGTTCATGGAGATATTTATCTGTAGTTTAGAACATGCATTTCTCTTAAGGCAACAAATCAAACCCCAGTAGAAAACAAAGAAACTATATAACTCAGACCATAGTCTGTGATCATATTGCAATAAAATTAGGAGTAATTAACAGAGAAATACTTCTCTAAACCCCAAATGTTTGAAACTTATAAAATAAACTTTCATATAATTCATGGATTAAGAAATAGTTACATTGGAAATCAGAAAATATTTAGAGCTGAATGACAATGAAAATTTGTGAAATGCAGCCAAAGAGATTCTTAAATACTTATATTGGGGTGCTAGTGGGCAAACAAGAAAGAAAGAACAAAAATTAATTAGCTAAACTTCCAAATCAAATTAGGGGGAGAAAATGCAACAACAACAGAATAAACCCAAAGTAGGTAAATAGGAGCACACAATAAACATTAAAAATGAATGAAATGGAAAGCAGAAATTTGAAAGGATCACAAAAACCAAAATGGAGTTATACAAAAGACTACTAAAGTAGACAGATCTCTAAGAAAATTAATCAAGAAAAGAGAGAAGGCACAAAAATATTAGAAATGAAAATGGGACACAACAACAAATATAGAAATTAAAGTATGATGCAACTACCATGAAGAATTTTGTACTGTTTTTGAAAAAAAAGAGTTAATGGATAATTTTTAGAAAACTTTAAATTACCAGCTGACTCAAGAAAAATGTGAACACTTGTATCTCTATCTAATCATTGAATTAGTACAATGTCTGTCACCTCTCCAACTCCAGCATTTCCAACCCAATACGAAAACAACAGTTCAAGCCTAGATCAGTTTATTAGGTAATCTCCATCAAACATTCAAAGAAAAGATAATTCTTGTCATTAAAAATATTTTATACAAGCTGTTCCTGAAAAAAAAAAAAAAAACTAAAAAGCTTATATGCTTCTCAAATTTATGGCCTAACCTTGATACCAAACCCTGACAAGACTGATACAAGAAAGAAAAATTATGGGCCATTTATGAACATGGATTTAAATATTATAAATAAAATATTAAACAGTTATTTCCAACAAATATTTACATTCTCATATCCATGTCGGACTTATTCTAGAAATGTGGTTAGTTGACAAAAATTTGTTAATGTTGTTCATCACATTTAGAGATTGAGGAATCCACCCGATCATCTCAATCTCTATAGAAAAACTTTTCATGAAAATGAAAGTAGAAATCATTCATGATTTTTAAAATATATTAAAAACACTTTTAGTAACCTAGAAGTAAAAGGAACCTTCTTTTAATATGTACGTTTTTATCAAAAACTTTTCTACGAATATTATACTTACTGGTTGGATATTACAAATATTTTCTTTAAATGTGAGAACAAGTTAAGGATGTTTATCAATATCACCTTCTAGGTAGTTTTTATCATGGATTCTAGCCAGCACAATAAGATAAGAAAAAGAAATAAGGGGTATATGATTTTTAAAGGAAAAAAATAACAGATCTTTAATGGGGGAATATATAACAATTAAATTTTGTCTTATTCTTACCGTGGAATACTGTACTGAATAAAAAGTGAATAACTTGGACTTATAAATGTCAATGTTGATAAATATCAAAAATATATAAATATAAAAAGCAAGTTACAAAGGATATTTAGGGAATGATACCATTATTGTAGAAACTGAAAATGAACTAAAGAAAACTATGACTGCCTGTATGCGGGGAAAAAAGTATAAAAACCTGCATGCAGATGATCCAAAGTAACTCGAGTTTTTTTGCTTGAATCATATGTAATTGTCATTCTTGTAAGTTAAAAATGGTTGAATATTAGTGAAGGGAAAGGGATGGGTATTTACCTGCATCTCTATGTTTTAGAGCTTAAAAAACAAAAGTTTGAAAGTGTATATGACAAAATGTTAGCATCCATTAGGTCTAGAGTTTTTTAAATATTATTTTCTATTCTTTATGCTTGAAATCATTGCTTTTTAATTTTTTAGGTCATGTGGAAGGTGAAAGAAATGCAAACACGAAGCATAGGCTGCTCAGGAAGAAGTAGGATAGGAAGACTGAAGAATGAAGAAAGAGGAAGCGATAGCTAAAGGGAACCCAGCCTACAGAATGGATTATGTGTTTTTGTTTTGCTTACGTGCTTAGGGGGAAGCTCCCATAAGGATTCTGAAAGTGGAGATATATAGAACAAAGTAAGATTTAAGATGAAAATATATAGACAGTAAGGTACAATATATAGATAGTAAGCTGTAAGATTAGTAAATATAGAAAAAAGTAAGATATAAGAAGAAAGCAAGGGGCTGGCCCGGTGGCACAAGCGGTTAAGTGCGCACGCTCCGCTGCAGCGGCCTGGGGTTCGCAGGTTTGGATCCCGGGCATGCATTGACGCACCGCTTGGTAAGCCATGCTGTGGCAGCATCCGATATAAAGTAGAGGAAGATGGGCACAGATGTTAGCTCAGGGCCACTCTTCCTCAAGAAAAAAGGGGAGAATTGGCATCAGATGTTAGCTCAGGGCTAGTCCCCCTCACAAAAAAAGAAAAAAAGAAAAAAGCAAGATCTAAGAAGCATGGCTAAAGGGATTAGCCTGTACAGACGAGGTGGAGCACCTCTGTAGTGACATCGACTGGAAAGAGATAGAAATGCCCCCCGAAGCAGACTTGTTCATAAACATTTGGTCAGGAAGTTGGGGTCATTTCTGCCTGAAGACCCTGCTTTCTTTGTTGCAGGAATCCTGCCTTCTTAGAGTGAGAAGGATGTGTATGGTCCTTGTTAGAAGCCTGAGGAAGATGACTGTCTTATGTTGGGAGAGGAGAGGGAACTGGAGAGAAACCTAACTAGGGACGAGTAAAGAGGGACCAGATAGTGCTTGAGGGCCCAGCTGAGGCTAAAGATTTCAGAGCGCGTTTTTATGCAGACTGCCAAAGCTTTCTTCTTTGTAAGGAAAAGAAATAATATAAAACAGCAAAGACCAGGAAGTATCCAGGGAAGATTGATTTGAAATCTTTGACTCTTTTTGAGTTCAATCTTATACTTATTACATTTGTACTTATTTTCCAGAGATTTCCTTCAGAAAAGAAGAGAAAACTTGCTTTTAGAGAGAGATTTAGGTACTTGGTAGGTTATTTTGCTCAGTTGGTTGATACTCACTTCAGTGGAATGGCAGCTGTTTAAATGAGTAGTATTCTGTTACTTAAGTGCAAGGAACAGAGAGAGACATAAATGAAATAATGCCTCTTCTGAAAGGGCCTACGTGAATCTTCCATACCTTACTATCTGAAGCCTTTCACTTCATTCATGAAACTTCCGTGTTCCTACTTGAAGATTCATCTCCATCTCTATCCCAGATTCTAAGATAGAACTTTTAGTATGTATTATTCTTCTACATGTTTACCATTTCAAATGCTTTTCATTCTTTTTTTAAATTAACTTGTTTTTTTACTGAGGTAGAATGCACCCTTTAAAGTATACACTTCAGTGGGTTTTAGTCCATTCACAGTTGAGCAGCCATCACCACTGTCTAATTCCAGAACTTTCGGCTCTTCATTCCTTCTTGAAGATCCAGGTTTCTTTTTGGTATCATTTAGCCTAAAGAATTCCCATTATCATTTCTTGTAGTGCAAATTGTCCGGCAAGGAATTTGTTGTCTTTTATCTGATTATGTCTTTATTTTGCCTTCGTTCTTGAAGGATATTTTCACTGAATATAAAATTGTGAGTTATAGCTTAGTGGGTGCTTATTCAATTATTTGTTCCCTTGTAGATTATGTGTTACATCTCACTGGCTGCTTTCAAGATACTTTTGTTTGTGCGGTGGCTTTAGAATATGTGACATTCCCTGGGCTGAGCTACATTTCCCGGAAGTCCCTTTGCCAGATGAGATTCCGGAGAGAGATTCGGAGGACAGAAGGGAAGCAGCTGCTGTTCCATAGCTCCTTGCGTTTTAGCTTGTCTGAGCTCACCTCATTGGCCTGAGGCCTGCGTTCACTCCATCCTCCTCTGGATCCTCTTTTAGCTCTTCCCACTGTTGGGCCGGGGTGTGTGGTTAGATCTGTGACAGACGTCCCTAGCTTGCCCCCGACGCCTACACCACCGAGGTCAGAGATGATAAGAAATGACATGGGTCTCAGGCTGTGCTTGGGGGCTCCAGCTCGGGCGTCTGGGTTCCACTTTATTCTTCTCCCCGCTTTACCTGCGTCTTCCCTTCCCACCTTCCTGCCCAGTGGGTGCCGGGCTCCAGCATTAAAGGTGAAGACAACAGCAGCCTTCCAGAGACTGCCTAAGTGGCTCCCACAGCTGAGTAAGTTCAGATCCCGTAATCACTGCACACACACACACAGACACAGACACACACACACACACACACACACGTTCTGCTTCTCTACTTGAACCCTGACTGATAGGCTTTGGTTTTTAGCCTTTGACTATAATGTGTATAAGTGAGGTTTTCTTGATATTTATTCTACTTGGAATTCTCTGAGCTTTTTGAATCTTTCACTAACTTTGGAAAATTTTTAGGTTTCTTGAAATATATTTTCTGTCTTATTGTCTTTGTCTTCTCTTTTTGTGATTCAGTTACACGTTAGACCTTTTGATATTGTCCCACGGATCTTTGAAGTTCTGTTCATTTTTTTCTATTTTTTTTCCTATACTCTTCAGAGTGGATAATGCCTGCTGATAAATCTTTAGGTTTACTGACTCATGTAATCTTTAATCTGTAATGCCCATACAGTGAATTTCTAACTTCAAATATTATATTTTCCCATTTACATTTTCCATTTGATTCTCTTTTTTTTGTTTCCATTTTTCTGATTAGATTTCCTCTCTCTTGATTCATTATGAGCATGTTTTACTTATCATCATTGAGCATATTCTAAAAGTTGCCTTAAAATCCTGTCTGCTGATTCCAACAACAGGTCGTCTCAGCAGCAGTCTCCATTGACTGTCCTCTTCTAGTGTCTGGGCCATCTTCTCTTGTTTCTTGTTATGTTGAGTCATTTCAGATTATATCCTGGACATTGTGACTGATATGTGGTAGTGCCTCTGAATTCTGTTAGATTGCAACAAAAAATATTGATTTTTTTTGTTTTAGTAGGTAGTTTATCATGGCTGAACTCAAACTGCAGCCCTGTCTCCACTCCAGTGGGTGGCAGTTAAAAGTTTCAGGTCAGATTATTTAGACTTCCCTCGGGGCTCGAGTCTGCCCCGTGCACGCTTGGTTCAGGAGTCAGCCAGAGATTTGGGCAGGCATTATATTCAGAATTTGGGTTTCTCTCTCTTCAGCTTTCTGTTTTGTCAGATTTCCCACCCCCTCACTTTAAAACTGCTATGCCTAATCCAGACTCTGTCCTCTGGTTCTTCATGGCAGTTAAGACTAGAGGTTTCTCATCCAAGTTTTAGCCTGCATGGTATAGACTGGGGCTCACCTTCAGGCTAAAAGCAAAGCTTAGTATTTGTTCTTAACTGTGCGTTATTGCATGCCAAATATAAACCTTTTTTTTCTGGTGATACAGTAATGTTTTCTATTCATGCAAAGAAGTATCCCATAGATTCACATTTGTGCAACATTCTGAAGAGTTTGTGTAAGTGAGAGCTTATTTAAACACTGTGGATTACCAGTGAGTGTTGTGGTTAGTTCAGTGCATACCAGCAAGATAATTCAAGGCTGTTCCCTTCCCCACATGTCCCAGTTCTCAGTAGCAAACTCAGACTGTTTTAGGAAATGTGTAATTTTCATTGCCTTTTGGTGTTGAATTGGCATCAGTAGCTGAAAGACCAAAGAATATTTTCCAGTGTTTATTCACATTTACTGCTCATCTACTTTTATGAAGTATTAGACTAAGGGCTGGGCATGCAAAGAGAAATAAGACAAGCTCCCTGTCCTCGAGTGCTCACAGTGTAGTGGAGGAGACAGATAAATAAGCAGACCATTTACATTTCTGTGTGATGAGTGCTCTGTTCCAGAGCTGGTAAGAGTATCTCAAAGGATACCTAACCCGGGCTTTAAGAATGAAGAACCTTTTATGGAGCCTGCACTCAGGGTTAGATTAAAATGATTGGAATTTTATTCATATTATGATGCTCTTGGATAACTTTGACTCGTATGAAAATTTGGGGCCTCAGTTTTTTCATTTTACAATGAGGGGATTGGATTAGATCTATAAGATTCTTTTCAATGCAAATATTTTATAATTTAATTAAAATGCATTGAAAAGGGCCGGCCCTGTGGCTTGGTGGTTAAGTGCGCGCGCTGCGATGCTGGTGGCCCGGGTTCGGATCCCGGGTGCGCATCGAGGCACCACTTCTCCGTTCATCCTGAGGCCGAGTCCCGCATACAGCAACTAGAAGGATGTGCAGCTACGGCATACAGCTGTCCACTGGGGCTTTGGGGGGAAAAATAAAATAAATAAAATCTTTAAAAAAAAAAATGCATTGAAAAGAAGAGATACTGAAAACTCACTTCTTTGTTCTTAACGAATAGAGTATCTCAGATCATCTAAAGTCCTATTTCACTGAGTTTCGCAGGTAGTGTGCTGCGGGTTATTTCTTCGCATTTTACGATTCTGCTCTTCAGCTGTCCAGCGTCCATCTACAAGGAGACACTTGGATGCACACTGACTTAGGAAAGGTGCATATGTGTTTAGAACCTCTTACGCCCGCTCTCCATTCTTGTACCTTTTTTGGAGCCGGAGCCTTCAAAACTTAGCTCCCACCTTCTGAATCCTTTGTTAAAGTCCCGCTAGTTAACTAGCACATGCCTGGGCATGGATGGGGCTCCCAGTAAAGGCAGGCTCTCTCTCCCAGGGGTTTCTTTGCCTCTCTTCCCTCAAATTGAGCTTCACCTTTTCCTCCTCAGCTTTTAAAGCCCCCATCTCTCCTTCTTTCCTTCTCACCAAAAGCTCTTCCACCCCCCAGGCGCTCTCTTCTCACTGAATTTTTTCTAGGGGTTGGTCTGATATGATAATACGAGAGTAGCTGTCATTGCAGGAACTGGGCAGAAGGAGACAGGTTCTTGGTCACCTTGATAGAAATATAATCGGAATTTCTCTGTAAAATATTATAAATATTGCTTGGGAGCTTTATTAATTTTGCTTTTTTTTCTGTATTTTAGGTTTAATAGACTTTAATGTTACTGCCTGGGAAGCTACTCACATTATATAGTTTTTTGTTTGTTTGTTTTTGTTTTTTGTCTGTGTAAATAAGTCTCACGTTTTCTCCAGCTTACATGCAGGCTTTCATGACAAAACTGGCTTCTAAGTAGGATTCTAAGTAGGAAATTGCCTATGTACCTCATTTGTCCCAAGTTTACATACTCATTTAACTCTTGCCCATGTTCTTGAACATTTCTAATCAGAAACAGTGATTAGTGGCTGCCGCACTGCTGATGCTGAACAGTGCCTATGAAGTCAGCTGGAGGAGGGATCAAGAGTGGATTGTTTCAGCAGGTTCTTACTGAAACCCTGAGGTTTGCAGTTAATGACACTGTGGTCGTCCATTGAGTTAACATATAAAAGTAGCTGAGATTTACAGTAGAGTACTTCTGACTGCAGTCAGTACTTGAGTGTTTCTAAATGAGAGTTAACATTGTGTCAGTTGATGCAGGTGTTTTGACAGATGTGTCCAGAGAGAAAAAAAAGAAGAAATTAAGATGATATTGGTTTAAAGTCAAAATAGAAAATTAATGTGTTAGTCTGCTAGGGCTGCCCTAACAAAATACCACAGACTGAGTGACTTAGAAAACAGAAATCTATTTTTCCACAGTTCTGGAGGCTGGGAGTCCAAGATCAAGGTGCTGGCGGGGTTGGTTTCTTCTGAAGCCTCTCTCCTTGCTTGCTGGTGGCTGCCTTTTTGCCGTGTCCTCACATTGTCTTTTGTGTGTATGTGTGCCCCTGGTGTCCCTTTGTGTGTCCAAATTTCCTCCTCTTATAAGGACACGAATCAGGTTGGATTAAGGCCTACACTAACACCTCATTTTAATGTAATCACCTCTTTAAAGGCCCTGTCTCCAAATATAGTCACAAGGGGGTTAGGACTTCGACATATGAGTTTAGGGGGTGGGGAAGTGGGCAAACTTCAGCCCATAATAATTAAATATTTAAAATTTGTTCAATTGTTGTTTAAAGTAAGTATATATTATGGAAATCTTTAATGAAATCCAAGGTTTGGGCCTTCCTGATGATTCCCGTGGGTTTGCTTCTGTTCAGATGCTGTAGCAGTTTTTTGCAAGTCCTCTGCCGTACCTTTCCCCATCTACAGAAGTTAGGGTTTTTTCTTCCCTGTATAGATGTTTATATTTCACTGTGTTGTCTTCTGCTTCTGTTTGTGAGGGGGGTTCGGGAGGAAATAATGTCCCCCAGCATGAATATCTTGACTTTGACTAATGTGTGGGGAAGCAATCAAAGGCAAAAGCAGTTTTCATGCAAAGTCTTCGTACTGTAAGTGCTGTACTAGAAAGAGCTTGGGATCAGCAGACCTAGCTTTTTGCTGCTTCAGTTGCTATTTCATCTTTAGCAAATCATTTTACCAATTATAGCTTCAATTTCCTGTTCTCTAAAATGGTAGACCAAATGCTCTCTGACACCCCACTTCAGCTCCAGATTGAATCATGTGTTCATTTATTCAGCAAATATTATTGAGTGCTACTATGTGGCAAGCAGTGTTGTAGCAATTGGAGATAGAGCATTAATGCAAAACAAAGTCCCAGATGAGATGAGTATAAAACAAATAGCAAGACGGTAGATTTAATCTCAACCATATCAATAATCACATTAAATGTAAAGGATCTAAACACCACAATTAAAAGACAGAGATTATCAGACTGGATAAAAAACAAGAACCACCTATATGCTGCCTACAAGAAGCCCACTTTAAATGTAAAATACAAGTAGATAAAAATAAAAGGATAAGAAATGATATGCCATGCTCAAACTAATAAAAGAAAACTAGAGTGGCTATATTGATATCATATGAAGTAGATTTTAAAGCAAGTAACATTACTGGGGATAAGGAGGATCACTGCATAATAATAAAGGGGTCAGTTCATTAAGAGGACATAACAATCTTAATCATTTATGCACATAATAATAAAACTTAAAATACAAAAACTAATAGAACTGCAAGGAAAAATAGACAAGTACACAATTATAGTTGGACGTTTCAATACCTATCTTCAAATAGTTGATAGAAGAATTAGAGAGAAAAATCATTAAGGTTACAGAAGACTTTAGCAGTACTCAGCCAATTTAATATAACTGACATTTATAGAACACCAGCCAACAACAAAGAACACTCATTCTGTTCAAGATCACACAGAACATTTACCATGATATACTATATTTGGGCAAAGCAACTTTCTATAAATTTAAAAGGGTCCAAATAATTTAAAGCATGTTATCATTGAATGAAAGAGAATGAAATTAGAAATCAAAACAGAAAGATATACAGAAAATCCCTATGTATTGGAAATTAAATACAATTTTAAATAATCCATGGTCAAAGAAGAAATCAAAAGGAAAACTAGAATGTATTTTGAACCGACTAACAATGAAAACAAAACATGTTTAGCTGTGTGATACAGCTAACACAATACTTCAAGGGAAATTTATAGTACCAAATGGCTATATTTGAGAAGACGAAAGGTCTAAGATCCATGACCTTGTCTTCCATCTTAAGAAACTAGAAAAAGAAGAACAAATTAAACCCAATGTAAACAGAAGAAAGGAAATAATAAAGATTGAGGCAGCAGTCAATGAAATAAAAAAGAGAAAAATAATAGGGAAGATTGATGAAAGGAAAAGCTGGTTTTTTGAGAAGATTAATAAAATGGATAAACTTCTAATCAAACTGAACAGAAAAGCAAGAAGACAAATTATTAATATCATAAATGAGAGCGGTGACTTGGCTATAGATTTTATGGGTATTAAATGGATGATAAGGAAATATTATGAAAAACTTTATGTTGATAAATTCAACGATTTTGCTGAAATGGACAAATTTCTTGAAAGACACAAATTACCGACAAGAAATAGATATCACGCGTAGCCTTCTATGTATTAAAGAAATTACATTTGTAGTTAAAATCCTTCTTGCAAAGATGACTCCAGACCCATATGGCTTCACCAGTGAATTCTACCAAACACTTAAGTAAAGAATAGTATCAATTCTATTGAAATTCTTCCAGAAAATTGAAGGTGAGGGAATATTTCCAAATTCATTCTATGAGGCTAGCTTACCCTGATACCAAAAGCAGGCAAAGATAGTACAAGAAAAGAAAACTATAGATAAATGTCCTTAATGACCATATATAAAAATACTTAACATAATTTTAGCAAATCAAATCCAACAGTAGATTAAAAAAACAACACATCATTACCAAGTGGTGTTTATTCCAAGAATACAAGGTTGGTTTAACATTCAAAAATCAGTCACTATAATTTACCATATTAGCAGACTAAGAAAGAAATATACACATGATTATCTCAATGGATGCAGAAAAAAAGCATTCAAGAAAATCCAACATCCATTTCTGATTTAAACAAAAAGCAAACAAACAAACAAAAATACTCTCAGTAAACTAGGAATAGGAAACTTCTTCAACCTGATAAAGGACATCTAGGGAAAACTTATGGCTAGTACATGAATGGAGAAAGACTGAATGGTTTCCAAGGCAAAGCTGTTCACTTTGTTCAACATTGTACTAGAGGTTCTGGCCAGTGTGTCACGACAAGAAAAAGAAAGAAAATGCCTACAGATTGGAAAGAAAGAAGTAAATATGTCTTTATTCATGGACAACATGATTACCTATGTAGAAAATCAGATAGAATCTACAAAAAATCTACAGAAGTTTAACCTATGGGTTGCTTGATATAAAATAAATATATAAAAGATTGCAGGATCCAAAAACAACTAATTTTATGCAGCAGCAACAGACAATCCAAAATGGAAATTAATAAAAATATCATTTATTATAGCAACAGAAATGTGAAGTACTTAGGGGTACTTTTGACAAAAGATGTGAAAGACCTTTATACTGAAAACTAAAAAAATATTTTTGAGAGAAATTAAAGGCAACCTAATGCAACTAGATATACTGTGTTCATGATTTAGAAGACTCAATATTTTTAAGATGTCAGTTCTCTCAAAATTGGTGTATAAATTCAACACAACTCTAATCAAGATCCTAGTGGGCTATTTTGTAGAAATTGTTAGGTTGATTCTAAAATTCATGTGGAATTCAAAGGACTTAGAATGGCCAAAACAACTCTGACAAAAAACAAAGTTGGTGGACCTACACTACCTGACTTTAAGACTTATTATTAAGTCACAGTAATCAAGACAGTTTGTTATGGACAGATAACATCTTTATTTGCCCATAAAGATGGTGGAAGAGATCAGTGCAACCCCACACAGAATCTGGAAATAGACTTACACATATGCAGTTAATTGACTTTCAATAAAAGCGCAAAGATAGTTCAGTTCAACAAGTTGTTCTGAAACAATTGGACATCTATTTTTTTTGTTAAAGAATTTGCAGCATATACAAAACTAACTGAAAATGGATCATAGTCCTAGATGTAAAGCCATCTAGAAAAAAACATGGGAGAAAATCTTTGCGGTATTAGGTTACGCAAAGATTTCTTAGGTGAGGCCAAAAGCATGATCCATAAAGAAAAACTGATAAATCAAACTTAAGAATGTTCTTGAAAAGACACTGTTAAGAAGATGAAAGGAAAAGCCACAAACTGGAAGAGTATTTGCAAATTACAAATCTGGTAAAGGATATGCACGCAGAGTATATAAAGAGCTCTGTGAACTTAATGACAAGAAACAAAAGAGCACGTATTTGAACACACTTCACCAAAGAAGAAGTAAACTCATGAAAAAGATCATTATTCATTAGGGAAATATAAATTAAAACATAGTAAAATACCACCACATATCTAATATTGAAATGTCTAATATTGAATGTCGAATGTTGAACAGACTGACCAAACCACGTTTGGCAGGATGTGGACAAGAGGAACTCGTCTACACTGCCGGCAGTAGGTGATGCAGGTACTTTGGGGAACAGTTTGACCGTTTCTTAAGCAGTTAAATGTACATCTGCTATGGCCCAGCCATTCCATTCCTTGGTATTTGTCGAAAATAAATCAGATCTTATGTCTGTACAAAGACTTGGACATAAAGATGCCTAGCAGCTGTGTTTGTCATAGCCCCAACCTGGAAGCCACCCACATGCCCATGGACCGGTGAGTGGATAAACAAACTGTGGTACGTCTGTGTGATGGAATATTCCCCAGCAATAAAGTGGATGAGCTGTTGGTACAGGCAGTGATGTGAGTGGATGTGAAAATAATCCTGCTAAGAGAAAGAGACCAGACAAAGAACGCATACGATGTGAGTCCAGTTACGTAAAAGTCTGGACAGTATGAACAGATCAATCGTGGCAGAAAGCCTGTCCATTGCTGCCTGCAGGGGGACGGGGGAGAAGACAGGGTGACACAGGGTCAGGAGAAAACGTTTGCAAGTGATGGATGTGTTCACCATCGTGACTGTGGTGACAGTTTCATATGTATATACGTGTGTCAAAACTTATCAGATTGTATACTTCATATGTGCAGTTTATTGGATGTCAGTCATACCTCAGTAAAACTGTTGTTACAAGTCCTTGCCCTCGGGGACCTCATGTTTTATTGGGGAGGAGGTGTATGTGATGACACTAAGCAAATAGAAGTATATTTTGCGTGCGTGTGTGTGGGTGTGTGTCAGTTGTTGGAAAGTCTTTTGAAGACGAAGCAGCGTGAGGATGGAAAGAAATGGGGAGGGCGCCTGTGGAGAGGAGGTCAGGCGAGTCTTCTGTGTGTCGTGACATTTGGGCGGAGAGTAGCTGAAACTGCCCTGTAATCTTGTGAACGCTGGTTTAAGATCTGTTTCAGTTTTTTCAAGTTGCCGGTGACCACTCTCTCTCTCTCCCCTCTGAAAGGATAGAGCTTTCCCCTAACTTGAAGGCAGATTTAAGTTTTTGCCATCAGAAGGAAGCAGATGGGAAGGGTGGGCAGACCTACCCCACATGCCCAAAAGAAGCCCATTTGTGCTGAAAGAAGTTTCATGGTTAATTTTTGATTGGAAGGATGGAGATCTGCTTTTTGGACATTTGTAGAATGGTGGGTCAGAAGGAAGGTTACAGCCAGCGTCCCAGCCCCCCAGTTGCCTGCCAGGCAGTTACCCCTCAGTATCTAGACGGAAAACCAAGAACTCTCCAGTCTCTGTTGCCTCTGGTGTTCTTGTGCCCATGTGTGTGATGCTGGTGAGAAGAATGCACTTGTGTCTGGTGGAAGAGGGAAGGTCTCCATCAGTGCCGTGAGAGACTTGCTTGTGTCCGGGCATCCTCACAGAGCAGCTAGAAAGAAGAGGCGTGTCCTGGCACCATGGCAGGTTTCCCCTCCACTGGCAGAGGAGCATGTTCCGGGGGGGTTAGAGGGGCTGCAGGGAGAGCCCTGTTGTTCTTGAGTAACCATTACCAGCCGAAACATGGAACCTGAATTTGGTTTGATCCCCAAAAGAGTCCTTGCTAGTAATAGAGACTTGAGAATAGCTGTGTACTGGGGCAAAGGGAAAGAATGATAAAAAGAAAAGAGATTAAAAATGCTTTGTAACACGTGCTGTAAACTGAAATATGGTCCTTTATTTTGAAAACATGCTTTTAATTCTGCTTACCCTCTGGTTTGTTAAAACATTGTCTAGAGAATAATTTAAAGATTTTTGCCTTATTATTTAACATAAATTTGGTGACAGTAAGAGTGGGAAAATGCATTGATCTAAAGCCAATTGTGTCCAATTGTGTATTTCTGTTTCTGTAAAATTTTTATAAAACATACTAATTTGTGTCATTCTATTTTCCATTTTTCTATCCACATGGGAATTTCCTTCTAAAAGCAGCATCTCCTGTTCTGAATGGTACTCATCAGAGCCTGCACTCTGACTGCAGGCCCTGGGACTGGCGTCCTGTGTTAAAAGTAACCTGTAGGCTCTACCTGTGAGGCCAGAGCTTGAGAAGCAGGGACCCCATCCTGGCTCCTGCTCCCTCGCAGCCAGTGGAAGTCACAGAGGTGGAGGTTCACGTGGCTCAGGCTCTTTAACCTCCAGCAACCCAAGACTTTCCCCCACCCCATGCCTGCTTCAGGTCTGAGGCAGAGGAGTCCAGTTCTGTCAATCCTAGAGCAGTTACTCTTAATCTCTTTTGAGTCCCAGTCTCCTTTGAGGATCTGATGAAAACTGTGGACGAAACATTGACACAGAACTTCAGGGGCTGCCAAGAACCCCTGTTCCAGAGCAGGGGTAGGCATTAATGCCCGTCTCAAGTAAGCAGAGTTACAGTTCTTTGCCAGGTTCAAAGGCAGCACTCTGCCTGTGACCTAGGAAGTAACTGTATTATCAAGTCATGTTTTTAATGATAACCTGCTCAGCCAGGTACCAGGAAGAGAGGTCGAGGAAAGCCAGCCAGGTTGTGTTGTGGCTGCAGAAGGGAAAGCCGACCGACCACCACGGCGACCTCACACGGTGGCTCAGCATCCAGTCTCGCACGTGGTTCATTCAGTTATTTGCTCTCTAATTTTATTCTAGAAATGAATCTTCCTAAATTGAAATCCGTTAACGGTACTCTCTTTCTTCTTACAGCTTGTACCTCCTTTTAAGCCTCAAGTAACATCTGAGACAGATACCAGATATTTTGATGAAGAATTTACAGCTCAGACTATTACAATAACACCACCTGAAAAATGTGAGTAAATCTAGAAGGCAACTGATAACATTCTAATATAATTGAAGAAAAAAAAACAGTCATTTTTTTAATTGGATATTTTCAAGATCAAATTCCACAGTGACTTATTCCATTTCATTTAAGAATATGCAGTTACTAGTGTGGAAATATCTAAAGACACCTAGCTGAGAGAAAAGGTGTTTTGGGTAGGAGAAATTATAAGCTAAGAATTATAGACTAAATTATAGACTAATTAGTGCTTCCTTCCTGTTCTCCAATGGACTCTTTTCACATCAGCTGAAAGGATTCTGAAATAGAGAACCCCCTTGTTTCCCAGAATGCTCATTCACATACCACCTTCAGAATTTTGCTAATTCTGGTCTCCTACTTAATAGTTTTTAAATTCACTTTAAATCGAATCACTCTTTTTTACTTAGCTTTATATTAAGAATAATATCAGTGAAGACATAATTTAGTTTGCTAATAATTTTTTATAATATAAATTAAATTACATATCTGTTAAAACTATATGTTCATGCACCACTTAAAATCATCCTGCATACACTAGTGTGTGCCCCACACTTTGATAAATACCTAAATAAGTGGGCTTTAATGGAAGAAAGGTTATCAAGCATGATTTACAAGCACTCTCATATGCTGACAAAGGTCTGTCTCTGTTGTCATTGGTTTAGGAGTGAGGATAAAACTGAGTTTCAGGGACGTATCTGGAGAGCTAAAAGTTTCCTTCAGGTCACACGTCTTTTGGCTCACACAACATTGGGTTAGCTTTTCCCTCCTTTTCCTTTATATCCTTTCCTCCATTTCTGCTCCTCTCTTTCCGTTTTAAAGGGCAGATTAGTTGATAGTGCCGATGTACTGAGTGTCCATGCAAGGGAAGGTTGGGTGAAGTACTGTTCCAACTGTGGATGTAGTCCACTGATCACAGCATTGGAAGCACCCAAGGGGTCATCTCAGGCAAGAGTTTAATCTGGGCCCATGGCCTGATAACAAGGGACTGTGAGCACCCTGAAATGAAAAATATAATTATGTATGCATATGTGCACTTGTCTTGCTTTAGACTTGCAAGAAGTTAAGAACGTCTTATCTTACATTTATAAGGGAAGAAATTGAAACCCAGGGAGAAATCGAGCTTCCCAAAGTCCCGCAGTTAGTGTCAGCCGTAGCCAGGAGCAGGACTCACCAGCGTGGCCAGTGCCCAGGTTAAGTTGTGAGATATCAACATGTGGAAGTGCTGCCCATGGTGTATCGCCAGTGGTGGGGTGGTGGGTCCCTTCTGTCGGTGCACCATTGCTAGGATCTCAGAATCTCCAGGAGTTGAAGATGATGCTGGAAAGCCTGTGGAGTTTGGGCAAGTGGCTCAGGACTGTCTGAGTGGAAGCAGTGGGTACAGGCCTTGGCACAGTTTCCCCTGGCCCCGTGTGGACTGTGGGGATATAATTGTCTGAAATGCTGGGCAGTGCCAGGGAGTTGTTAGATTGGCCCTGGAGTACTTTCTACCAGAGAGCATTTGCTAGGCCTCGCCATTTGGATATAGCCTTAATTGTAATCGGACCACATTATTCCCCTGCTTAAAACCCTCCAGTGGCCTCCCATTGTGCTCTAAATCCAAACTGCTCACGCCAGCTTACACAGCCCTGTCTGCTCTGGGTCCCATCCACCTCTCCGACCTCATCCTGTTCCATCTTCCGCCGCTGTCCTGTGTTCTAGCCACAGCTTGAACATACCAGCTTCCCCGGGACTGGGGACTTGTGTGTGTCCTGTTCTCTTGGCCCAGAATGCTTTTTTCTGGGACCTCTGCATGAACAGCTCCTCTTGTTCTTCAGATCTCAGCTGAAATGTCACTTTACCAGAGGGCTTTTTTTCCCCTCCCAATCTAGAGAGCAATAGCCCATCAGACTCCGTCCCCCAACCTCTTAATTCCCTACTTTATTTGCTGATATTCTTCTGCTTAATTTGTTTGTTTCCTTGTTCACTGTCTGTTCTCCAACTAGAATGCAGTAGTTCTAAGAAGAAGGGTTTGGTTTGCCTTATTCACTGCTAGCCCCAGTTCCTAGCCAAGTGCCTGGCACAGCAAAGGTATTCAGTAAACATGTATTAAATGAATAAATAAACATATTATGGTGTGGGCCCAGTAGTTCCCAGGCCGGAAGGAGGCCCATCTCTTTACAGAGAGTGTTGTTGCCCCTCAGTGCCCAGAATTTTGTGTTTGGCTTGCCTCCACGCGATACCCATGGTGGGCATTGGCAAAGTAAGATCCTAACACGTCTCGGTCCTGGCCTCATCCTCTTTGAGACAGTTTCCTTTGTTAAATAGAGCTTTTGGCATTTGTGGGATCTTTTAGGACAACTAAATATGTGACTTTGGAAGGCATAGAAATAGGTAGGCTCTGTAAATGCAAAGCCATGAGTACATAATTTACCTCAGAAAGTTACCAGCACCATCCTAGGATGGAAGAGGGCGTTGGGGTTGCAAAAGCCCCAGACTCAGACCCCGCTGCATGTCCTGGCTCTGCCACTCCCCGGGTCCCAAACATGGCAGGTCTCTCCAGAAGGTGGGTGCAGGGCTGGATGATCTCCAGGGCCCCATCCTTCTCCCACTGTGTGCTGAGAAGCCTTCTCTTTAGCAAAGGCACCTGGAGTTCTACAAGTTTGAATAACTCTATTTTTAATTTTATTAAAGCACCAGATTAACCTACGTGAGGGGAGATGATAGGCCCAGCACAATAAACACCTAGCAAAAAAAGGATGAGCGTGAACAGAGGGATGTGAGGAGGGGACTGACTGAAATGGGATGCCAGGAAATGTTAGACTAAAAAGACCACGGCAAAGCAGGTTTAAAATCTATTTGATTACAAAGAAGTTAAATTAAAAGCTTTTTAATATATGCCTCCTTAGCCGTAGTTCTTTTTCATGATTGACTTGAACTTCAAAGCCTGAGCTGTCAAGAATCAGAATCTCTCGAGATTCACCTGACCCGCCTTATCCTCACCTCCAGGCTAGTGGCAGGTGTCAACGGTGTGATTGTCATTAATAGGCATTTTATTGCTCAATTTCTAGAACTTCTAAAATGAGACTGAAATGTTGGAAGGTGTTTTAAGTCACCCAGCACAGTTTCTAGAATATAATCTGAACCTAGGGTCTCAAGTTCTTGATCAACAATATAAAAGTATTGAATGTTATACTAGAATGTTCTTCCTGGCATGTCACATTTTATCACTAACAGTAACTCTGTTCTTGAAAGAATATGTCATTTTAGACGTGGGTAGTGCTGTGTAAGCCCAGTGACTCAGTGTCTTTAAAGAGTCATAAGTTCGTTTCTAGACTGCGACAGGGGTTGATAGGAAGCCCATTCATTGCACTAACTTCCAAGGTGGGTATCGAAATCCAGCTACAATTGTAGGCCATGAGAGTCTGGCTTCTGTGGGCATCAGAAGTGGGGTGTGGCCCTGCCCTGGTACTGTGCCCTGGACAGCCCCAGAACGTCAGGCAGCATCATCTGTGGCTGACAGGGTGCCACCCCCATTAGGGTCAGGAGGACACTGGACTTGCTGTCTTTCTCCCGATTCAAGGTCTCTAGAGGAAAATCGGAGAAAGAGTTCGGCACCGTAGGCTGAGGCCGGGCGGGCGCCAGCAGCCTGTCCTGTGCGCTCAGCCCAGCACAGCGCTCTCTGGGCCCCAGGCCGCAGGGCCGGCTCCTGCTGGAGGGCGTGGCCTGCGTGGCTGTGAAGTGCAGCTCCTGGGGCCCTCTGGGGCACAAGGGCAGTGTGTCTAGCTTGACGGTGTCTGGCCATCTCCTGGGTTCCCCGAAGAGGCAGATGGAAGCAGAAGCAGTGAAGCCTTGAGCTGGGATCCCGTTTCACGGATCTTTTCTCACAGCTTTCAGTCGTGTTGCTGTGAGAAACCACTGCAGCTCGCTGGTGCTGAAGCACAGAGGCTTGTTCCTAAAAGCCACAGGGGCACCATCAGCCAGCCAGTCTGCCCACTTCCCACCTTGCTTTTGTGAAACAGAGTGGAGTGATTTTTTAGAACAAATCAGCAGTTAGAAAGGCAGAATGTTCCTTTTCTATAAACAGCTGCAGTAACATGCCAGATTGTCCTCACTGGTGTTAATTAATGGAACAGACTTTGGAATGTGTCGTCTTGCATTATATCCATTAATGGTCCTCTGCCTTTCTCTTACAGAAAAAGAGGATTTCTTTGAGATCTAGTAGGTTTTACTGCCATATAATTCATTTGTTAAATGTTCTAAGAAAATTAGGCAACTGATGCTGTTGGATCCTGGGATTCAGATGTAGAATGTAGAGGGATCATCCTGTTTTGTTTTTCCAGATGTGTGGTGTTTGGTGTTTTTAGCACCGTTGGTGTTCATTATCATCATCGTGTCCTATGAACCTCCCTTCAGAGCAGGCACGTAGTTGTGTGCCTTGACTGGGCGTGACCAGCTCTGGCTCAGGCAGTCAGCGCCGCGTCAGCCGTCAGCTCCCCTCCCTCCGCAGCCCACTGCCCTGGTGCCTCCCAGGCTCGCAGCCCCTCTTGGGGCTGTGACCAGATACTTGCCCTCACTGTTTCCCAGCCTGGAGGAGCAGGAGTGGGGGGAGTGAGAGAACTGGCTGGAAAGACCATCACGGCGTGGCCTCTCCTGGCTGTCTGAGAGACTGAGACTTCTCTACGTTCAGAGATGTGGTCCTTTGTGACTGAAGTGACAGGATGAAGGCCCTCTTCATTCTCAGTGACATGCAGCCTCACAGCAGTAAATCCTCCTCCTCAGACTGAAGGCCGGCACCCACTGTGGAGCCTGGCTGCCCCGGGCTCCACTCCTCGCCGCTCCGGCGGGGCCCGCCTCTGCCCTCGCTGGCTGCGCACCAGCCTTCCCCCGCGCTGTCCGGGGTGCTCTGCAAGTTTACAGTGCAGAAACACGCTCAGCAAAATAAAGCTGTTAGTGGGGAAAACTGTTTCTTTGAAATGCCATTGGCACATGTCATAGTCGGAACATGAAGATTTTAGCTGCCTTTTCTCTGGAGAGTTTTTATACTTTGTGACTTAACAGATACACCATCCGCAGCTCCCACCATCTTCAGTACAGCTAAAAATACTGTGGAAGGTATTTGATCTAGAAGGTGCCTGTGTTTTTCTTGGTAGAACCAGTGTTTTATAATAAGGAGGCAGAGATTTCCCTAAACCACAGTACTATCTAGAAATGCTGACTGCGGGGCAAAGGGCCTGTTTGCAGAGGGAGGGGCCCCTCGGAGGACAGTGGTTTACATGGAGTGGGGAGCCACAAGTGCTTATTGATGGATTGATTCCTACCTGATACAGTGGTATTTTCTAGTACATTCAAGGCCACAATTTTGGTTAGCAACTTGATCCCATTTCTAGAATCTTCTGTACTAAGAATACTGAAAAGAAAACCAGTGAGAAAAAAGCAGAAAAGTTTGTTACTCTTCAGAGGAAGGCAGAGCATCCTCCTCTGTTGTGTGACAAGGTCAATGCCCACGATACAGCAGGATCTGGCCTGTGTTCTGTCTCCCTTTACATGACACTGAGGCTCCATGGAGAGGCTGCACACTTAAAAGAATTGGTGACGCACTTCCTATGGGTATTTGAGGGGATGGAATTATTCTGCTTGAAGAGAAGGAGGCTGGGTTCAAAGAGTCTTGCACTTACTGCACTGGAAGATAGACATAATGGAGTAGAGCAGGAGGGATGTCGTGGGGGACCTGCCCCACACACAGGGAGCCCGAGGGCGGCAGGGACTCTGCCCAGAGCAGATGCACAGGGAATACTGAACGTGTGACCACAGATTGGGAGACGCATCCTGACATCATGAGAACAGTTATGGGAAGAGGTTGGGTGATCGTCTGTAATCTTTCAAATACAGGAAAGATGAAAGGGAGGAGCAGCTTAACTGAAAGTGGCCTCTTTCCACGCCTGTCACGTCTCTTCTCCCTCTATTTCCTGATGAACTAGTACTCAGATGCTAACCTCTTTCCCTCTTTTTCTTTGTCTTATTCTCTTTATTCAAGTGTAAAGTTTATCATAGGAAAATTGGGAATGGTGAGTTAAGGCAAATACTAGATGTAGAATAAATAATGTAAAACCTTAAATGTGTGATCAAGGGCTCAAGCGAAGTGGAATCGTGTGGAGCTTCACTTTGCAGCCACACCTGAAGCAACAGGAAGAAGAAATACAGGCATCTGGAGACAGGTGTTGCTGGATTCCAGACACACACTTTGGGCGCCTTAGATTCACTGACTTCTGTAATCTTGACATGCACAGTTTCATGAAATCAAAGGTTACTGGAGATCATTTTTTCCTTCTTATTTAAAAAGTCGTATTTCCTTCACTGGTATTTTTTCACAGTTTATTAAGTCTTGAAATGTTAGTGTCTATTATTTCTTCATAGATCATGTGTTTGAAAAGGAGATAATTTTTGAACTAAGTTTAATTACTGTATGTTTTGTTGATAAACACAAGTTTCTGGGAGCTGTTGCCTCTGTTAATCTTTCTTATGTTAGAAGTTAGAAGTACATAGACCAGAGATGATGTTGCAAACAATACATGTAAAATTAAAAGAGCTGTTTCCTGCCCACAGATGATGAGGACGGTATGGACTGCATGGACAATGAGAGGCGGCCGCACTTCCCTCAGTTTTCCTACTCTGCAAGTGGACGAGAATAAGTCTCCTTTGTTCTGCTACTTCACTGTCATCTTAGATTTGTTACTGAAAACGATTCCTGGACATCACTCCAGTCCTAGCTCTTACGAGTAGCAGGAGCACCTTCAGACATCCCTGGCCGATGCCAGGTCTTCGCCCCTCACCACCTTCCACCCACACGAGAACACACATATGCGCACACACTCGCCCTTTTGTTTTTGCATGAAGTTGTATCTAAGTCTAAGGTCTCATGCTGCTGCTGCTACTGTCTTACTGTTATAGCAACTTTAAGAGGTGACCGTACAATCTTTGGAAGTCATGAGCCCACCATCGTTCATTTGTGCACCAATTGTCATCTTTTGATCTTTTAGTTTTTGTTTTTCCCTAACAGTGAAGGCTAAATGAGATACACTGATTCTAGGTACATTTTTTAACTTTATAGAAGATAAATCAAAAACTAATTAGACTAAGAAGATTTAGTTTATAATTCAGAACAAGCGATTGTGGGAGGGTGGTGACGTGCATATGCAGAATTGTAGTGAAGCATGTCAGGTCAGTGTGTGAAGAGAGTGTGTCACTAGGATCTGGCTGGAGTTCATTAGGAAGCATTTGAGAGAAGGACAGAACAACTGTGGGGATAGATATGTATACACATATACATTTAAATTCCTGTTGGAACTGCAGGGGCAGCCCGTACTACACGTGGACGTCCAGATTGCCGGGGCAGTCATGGGCAATGAACACTGTTCTACTGAGGAAGGGAGCAGCATATGCACAGTAGGTCAGGGTCACTTCAAGGGTCTAGGATATGATTTGCACCAGAGAGCATTTTTTCCCTGTGCTTGGAAACCTTTTTCCCTTCTTGATATTTATCACCTCTGATGGCTAAAGAATGTAGACAGGTATAATGATCCTGCTTTTCACCAAAATTTGTACACCAAGGTAAACAGGTGTTTGCCTTATTTGTTTTAATTTTTTACTTTCAGTTCTGCGTGAATTAGCTTTTTCTCAGATGTTAAAACTTTGAATGTCCTTTTATGATTTTGTTTATATTGCAGTAGTATTTATTTTTTAGTGATGAGAATTGTATGTCATGTTAGCAAATGCAGCTCCAACTTACATAAAATAGACTTACTGCAGTTTATTTTGACCCATGTGCAAGGAATGTACACGCCGATGAGAATCATGCACTTTTTCTCCTATGTAAAAACATGTTGATGAGGCTCTGAAATTGTCCGTATTGGTGAGAATTGGGCTTTGGGAGAAGAGATGCTGTCATTTAACCCCTTGGTCCTAAAGATGAGAAAACCCCCAACTATCCATGCCAAGGGGTTAACGAGACAAGTGGATGGTGATGTTCGCCCAGTTGAGAAGCGGACTGTGACGACGGCTGGCGACGTGACGTAGTGAAGATAGCTGAGACCTGAGTGATGATGAGAAGTGAACTTGACTTGGCAAAAGGAACACATCTGGAGTATTGACGAAGTAGGCAGTAAAGGATAAGAACCTGGTGTGTTTATTCTGATCATGGTACATTTATCACTGAATTAAGCCATCAGGGAAAAAAACAAAACAAAAAAAGAACACCTCCAACTTTTCTTTTTCTGTATATACTCATGTCTCCAAATTCTAACATTTCTCACTGAAGGGGGACATGTATGCAAACCTCCTTTTTCTCCTCCATTAATGATGATCTCCAGATTAAACCCTTTGGTGCTAGGAGCTGCCATTTTCCAAAGCAGCCTATGACGTCCAGGAGGCTGGGGGCCCTTCTTGCAGCGAGCAGGAGGCCGCCCGACTCCACGGAGTGATCATGGAAATGCATTTTAGTTACACTCTCTGACAGCTCCCAAATGGAAGACTACAGCATGATGTAGTGTTGTGACTGCATTGTATGAAAGAGCAAGTGACTTTCTCATAGGATGAATCATATTCATACGCAGATGTCTTAGCCTCTTGACGCTGGAAGTGTGGATTTATAGACATGAAACCACTGCTGGCGGTGGGTGGACCACTGGGACTGATGGGGGTTAAAGGGCATTTTACTAAGGCAGCTAAGACATATCAGACATAGATTTTATCCTAATTTTTCATACTTCTACCTGAGTGAAGTTCATCCTTAGTACTGAGTAGGGAGTTAGAGTAATGGTAGTTCATTCTTACTTACACATACAGCTCAACTGTTTTTTTTCACTTGGATTATGTTGAATGTTTCACTTTGACAAGAAAGTAGACTGGAAGGTATGTTCTGTAAGTTGTCTTGCATCCATTGTATAAGAGCGAGCCAGGTGAGAGAGAGAGAAGAAGGCTAAGACTGGCTGATGCTCAGAGCATTCACTCCTTAGAGGGGACGCGTGACACCGCACACTAAGCACATCGATAGCTTTTTGTTTCCCCCCAAATGTTAAGGTGATTTCTGTGACCTTGGCCAAGGAAACTTCCTAAAGATTCATGACGGCGTTGACAGGGCCCCAGGCTGCCACTCCTCACGGCTGGCTTGCCGGCCCAGCCAGTGCCAGGGCTCACCGCTGGTCGCCCCAGACTCCGGCAGTCAGGCACGGTGTTTTCTTGGCTTCGATTTTGAGAATCCCTTATTTTCAGTCCCAGATCTCAATCAGCTGACGTGGAGAATAATAGAACAACAGAAATATATGTAGAAGGAGATTTCTAAAACTTCCTGTGTCTGCCCATAGCTGTAGTTTGGATTCTGGCAGATGGAAAGGCCTGAAACCTGGAATCATTCTAGCAGAATCCGGTTCAGACTGCGTGGACTCCATCTTGTGCTCACTTTCATGAAGTTTGCCCTCTTGTCATAATGCAGCCACCTTGGAGGAAACTGGCCATTTCTGCTTGGATTTTTGGCAGGGTTGCTCACAGCTTTGCTTTCCACACTAATTACATGGCATTATTCCAGTATTGTTTTCCATGTCCCATACCTGATTTCTGGCTTCTCAGAGCTGACTGTTCTTGTGGGGCCACTTGCTTCTCCTAGAGTACAAAGGTAAGGGCCTTCCTTACTGACTGCAGGGCCTATATATTACACCTCAGTGTACACACTTTGCTGCTACTGTTTGTACTGTCCACAGTAGAACTTCCTTATCTTGCTCCTGGTAGTGCATTACAGGCAAGCATGAAATGTAAAGTATTTATTTAAATAAAAAGAAAACCTCTAAATTGGTAATTGAATTACCTCCCTGTAGCTTTATAGTTTGTGACATCTCTTGACCTTGCTAGTTCTTTCATTAGATCCGCGCAAGATCCAGTCATCTGGTTAAGGATTTTCAGCAGACGCAACTATGAACCCAAGAAACTGTATTACTATTACTGTTGGTCATACTAAAACTGTTTATTTCCTTACGTATATGACCTACAAGGATGTGAAATAACTACAAGAAACTGTTTTGTACACTGTACATCCTTAGTATTTTTACACGTATATGGTAGGGATGCACATTATTTTCCTTCGTACAGACAGCCTAAATAAAGCACTATGTCAATCTGCTACTTCTCTGTCTATTGTTGTTGGACGTGGTTCTGTAATCTCAGAAGATTAAATATTCTTTTCTGAAAAAAGATTTTTAATAGCTCCACCTGGTATTAACCCACCCTGTATAAAATGTGGCAGGAAAATATGTAAATTTCTTGTAGCTCGAAACACACACGGGATTGTTTTGTTACTTCAATAAAATGGCAATAGTGCAGTTGTTCAAACTTTGATGAAGGGCTATTTCCCGAGGGAGGCGCTGGCCTCAGCGCTGGTCAGGACAGTTCTGCTGTGACGCCGGGGATGGACCAAGTCTCCTTGGAGATGTGTTAAGACCCTAATAATCTTCACACCAGATGGTCTGGACCCAGAATTCTTCAGGAGTGTAGCTCATCAGTAATGTCTTCCTGATAATGTGTTGCTCTGCAAACTTCCTTTTTTTAGAGTGTATTTTTAAAACTTCATGGCAAATTAACCAACTTACACGTCAGTAATCAATGGGTAGGATGGTTGGACTACACTCCGATTGACCCAGAATCATTTTGGATGGGGCCTTCTTCTGATTTTACCTCATAATCCTACTATTGTAGAAACTTGGCTTTGCTCCTGGGACTAAGTTAGATAGAGGAATGGCTCTGGGACCAGAGTTGATCAGGCGTGTACGTGTATGTTACACGGCCAGATCTGAGGGCGTTCTCACGTGCTCTTCTCTCAAAACCACGGGGTGACAGGTCCAGGAGGCTAAAATAAAGTGACCTCTATAGTTCTTTAAAGGTGCTATTTTTAGAATATTGTATAATTTATTTACTGTATTCCTAAAACAGAATTAGGGACAAATAATATATGTTATGTGACAGCTTTGAGCACATTTGATGACATCAAAAACGTGTGAATCTGAAGTTCTGCTCTTTCAGGCTTTAACCTCGTCCACGCTCCAGAGGCTCGTGGTCTCTGTGTGGTGTCGTGCCGCCGCCTACACAGCCTAGTCCACACAGATCCGCAGAGGCCACGCCCAGACGATGACGGGAGAGGCTGCCGGCTGGGGCGCAGCCTGAGGTCAGGGGCTGTCCCGCTGCAGCCTGGCTTCTAGTATCTCCTTGTCATCCTCAAAGACAACACAGCGTTTTCAGTGCCCATTTTTATTTCTTTAAAGCATTCGAGGGCTTAACTGTGTATAGCGGAAATACTATTTTAAACTAAAATAGTGACCTGTGTACAGATATATCTGATAGAACTCTAAGTAAATTTTGTAATTTCACTAAGTACGTTTTTAGGCTCCTCGCAGATACTGCGTATTGAAGAAGAAACCTGACACCACCGAGCCATAGATGCTTTTTCGTCTGTTTTTGTTGTTAACAGAGTGGAGAGGAGGATGCTTAGTGCTCCCTGGTGTCTCCTGACGGTGCGCAGATTAGCAGGATGAGAAACGATGGAGTCCACGGGATGTTAGTTACAGGCAGATGAGGTTGGAGGATGACATACAGACCACAGAGAGGGAAAGGAACACGAATGGCAGGAAGGTGGTTCGGTCCTCGATACCCTTTGGCCTAGTTAAAATATGTGCCTTTTTGGTGTGTTTGTTTTGTTCAGCACCTCAAGGTAAAAAGGAAACATTACAGTTCAAGTCTTGGAAAAGTTCATTTATTGAAATTCATATGTGTAACAGCATACAAATGAGCAGATTTAAAAACATAACTTCAAGCCATTTCTGAACACACACACCAGGAGGGCTCCTCACGTGTCAGACTTCAGCTCCAGCCATCCGTCATGCAGGGACCGCTCAGCTACCAGTGTGGCCGTGGCGGCCACTGCAGTCCAAGGGGGTGTCCACCAGGAAGGTCGCGGTGCATTGTGGCATATTACGTACAAATCAGATGAATGTAAATATCTCTTTGTAAATCATTTATTTCACTGTTTCATCCAGGTCAGCAATCAGATTGTGGCATGCTGGGTAACTGGAAAAAATGATAATAAAAAGTAAGTTTAACTAGATCATGTTCTTCCATGTGATTTATCTTCTCACTGGTTTGTTACCTCTTAAATTTTTGGAGAAAAAATATCTTTTGCTAAAAATGTAGACATTGTAGGTGACCAATTGTATGAAAAGTTTGTGCCTCATCTCGACCACAGATCAAGCCCTTGTCAAATAGGAATATAAGGTGAACTGTTTTGTTTTAATGCTTTAAATCTGAAAGCAACCCGTATTCCAGACATCTGTGTGCCTCTTAACTGAGGGCAGTCTGCTGCCAGGACATGGCCCGAGAGCCGTCTCTTCCCTGTCCCGGAGAGGAGACACTGACTCCTGCCACGACCTGCTCCTGAGAATTGCTCAGATGTGACCCAAGGAAAGCTGGAACAGAAACGGGCTGGAGGGGGCCTGGCCCCGTGGCGTAGTGGTTAAACCTGTTCGGCATGCTCCGCTTTGGTGGCCCGGATTTGGATTGTGGGCGTGGAGCTACACCACTCGTCAGCCATGCTGTGGCAGTGACCCACATACAAAATAGAGTAAGACTGGCACAGATGTTAGCGCAGGGTGAATCTTGCTCAGCAAAAAAAATGAACAAAAACAGGCTGTAGGCCATGTGTCTCTCAAGTTCCTGGCAAAACAATACCAGCTGAAACCTCCACATTTTTAGCTACAATTTATTATAACATCTAACAGGCATGGAAACCACCTCCCACATGTGGAAGAGGGCATTCGGTGTACTTGGTCTCTTAGTTTTAAACAGGAATAAATGTGTCAAAACTAGCTCATGAAAATGGGGTTGGGGGAGTCACAAGTTAGGCAAGTTCTGAAGACGGCTTCCTCCCCACTGGCGTGCTGGTCACGTTAGTTTAAACCACGTCAGGAAGTGGGGTCAGAAACCACTGGAAGCTGTTTGTTATACTCCACAAAACACTTCTCGGGTACCTGCTGTGTGCCACGTGGGACGATGAGGAAGACAATCCTTGACTTCTTGGAGAGTGAAGGCCCCACCGTGATAGGGACAGATAGAGAGCGAAGCGGCTATCTTGTAAATCCTAGTGTTTTGTTGTTGTTTGGGGAAGAGTGGCCCTGTGCTAACATCTGTTGCCAATCTTCCTCTTATTCTCTTTTCTCCCCAAAGCCCCAGTACACAGTTGTATGTCCTAGATGTAGGTTCTTCTGTGTGGGACGCCCCCTCAGCATGGCTTGATGAGCGGTGAACAGGTCCGCACCCAGGATCTGAATCAGCAAACCCCGGGCTGCCAAAGCAGAGCACTCAAACTTAACCACTACAGCACCGGGCGGGCCCCTAAATCCTAGTTTTTACTTCAACAGATGATAAACTGGACTGCCGCGCAGGGTCACAGGCCCAGTCTGCTCCCTGTTTGGCTGGAATCATCTTCAAGAGGGACATGTGGGCCTCTGCGCTCCAGGCCGATGCCCTGAGCTAGACTCAGAGGAGGGGCTGTTGTCCACCCCGCATAAGCCGTGATCACTTGTTGAGGATTTACAAGACAGGACAGGGAGTGAAACTGAGATCAGAACTCATGCAAGATATACAAAAATCAGTCTGATGCCTTTTTTAAGAAATGAGAGGAGGTCATGTTTCTTTTCGAGTAGGTATCCAGTGTGTGTGACACTAAGGACGTTTGAATGAGTAAGTCTGTGAGCAGAAGGGTTCCTACACAGGGCAGTCAGTCAGAACACAGGGTGTGCGGCCCCTTCTCACACTGAACACAGGCCCACTGCACGTGTGGTGTGATGTGCAGCCCTCTGAGGGCTGGGGAGGTGGGTGGACTCTCTTCCTTAGAGCCCACCGGGGGCTTCTGTTCTCCAGGCCCTTCCTGGATGGGCCGCAGGGGTCCACATGCCTCAGAGTCCTCCTGCTGCAGAAGGGGCTCCTTCTGTCCTGGGGGATACTCACAGCACAGAGGCTGCCACCAGCTCCATGTGACCAGCAAACACAGGGTCTCCGCCTAGAGCTGATCTGCCTTCCAGTCCTGACTGGACTGACCCAGTACAGTGCCCCTGGCTGGCTGGCTGGAAGGACCCTCCGCCCCATGCTCTGCTGGGCGCCCTGATGACCTGGGTGCTCGAGAGGCAGGGGCTTATTTTCTACTTTAGAGATTCAAGGCTGCCCGAGTACAAGGATAAGCATAAACCACAACAGGCATATTGCAAAAGAAAAATTTAACTGACCTTTGGGTAGAAAACACACATACCCATAACATGCGTGATGCAGAATGCCGGGAAAGACCCGAGTGGAAGGAAAATGTATTGCAGGATGTTTTTTAAACCAAGCTCCAGGAAACTGGCATTTCTCATCATGAGTCTTGGTGGTGCCAGTGGGTCCGGGGCCACCTCGTGATTTATCATCACCTGAGCCATTCTCCATGGCTCTCACACGGCTCCAATGACACCCGTGACCCCGGCTCCTGGGGCCCACTTGGGAGCAACACAGGCGTGAGGCCCTGGATGTGAACAAACCAGAGTCAACCCCGGTTTCTCCTCCGGTAGCAAATCGGCTACTACTGTCTCTCCATCGGTTTTATATTTGATTTGGTTTTGGTGCAAGAACCTGTATTCGACCTCACGTTCGTATTCCAGTACTTTCTGTTCACTGCTCGCTCCGCACGCCCACGGCCGCCTGCCCCACGATGAGCACTCAGTAAGCTTCTGACTGAAGGAGTCACTTGCCCTATGAGGTCACTGTTTTGTCTGCTAATCGCAGCCCTCGGGCTTCACTCAGTTCCCTGAGTCCTTAATAGAGAACACTGCTCGGTGCTTCCCCATGGTACAGTGCGTCCAGAGAGAGAAGCTTCAGTTACTGCCAAAATCAGGCTTATCTGCCCTCAGCCATATTAGCCACGCTCATTTCCAGAAAGTCGGTCCGTTGTCCACACCACAGTGACCACGCTCCGGCTGTGAGGAGACGCAGATGCGCATGCCAGGGGCATAGCTGGCTGGACAGTGCTTGAGCCTCGGCCACCATCTTCCCGACCTGCCTTTCAGCTTGTCACCAAGGCCCCTCGCTGTGGCCCTCCTGGGTGGGGC